TTTGATAAATTTCTGCATTATGATTAGGCATTTCAGTAATTTTTAATGTATACTCTGATTAGTTCGGCATGGGACAGCTTGACCAAAAAACATACAGCAAAATCAACAGAATAGGTAACTCAACAAATTATATATGTTTTTCTTTTGGCCTGTGTATCAGTTAGCTATTGATACAATGATGCTGCATAACAAGAACCACAAAATCTCAGTGGCGTATAATAAACATCTGTTGCTTACATACTTCAGGTCAGCAGAGAGTTATCTAGATAGCCCTGTCGATCTTGATTGGCTTAATCATGTGCGTTGGGGAGGCTGGATGTCTGCCGACCTAGGCTGGGGATCTGCTGGCCGTGGGCTAGCGGGCTGTCCACTGGCCTTGGCGGAGGCAACCTGGCTCTACTCTGTGCATCTCTCATCCTCCTCCTGGGACCAATGACTAACCCCAGCTTGTCCTTCTCATGAGGGTGGCAGAGGTGCAAGCAAGCCAGCCCCAACGCGTCAGTCTGTTTCAAGTCTCTGCTTGTATAGGTCTGCAAAGATCCCATTGGCTACAGCAAGACATGCGGTTGGGCTTGGTGTCAGGAGTGGGACTGAACTCACCTACAGTGAGAGGTTACCACAAGGTCACATAGCAAAGGACAGGGATACAGGGAGGGGTGAAGAATTGGTATCATTTTTGCAAACAACTACAATCCACCTTTATCCCTGCCGTTGTTCACGTCTCTCTGACATGGAAACTGCACTCACACCCTCCTGAGAGCCCCACAAGTCTCATCCAATCACAGAATCAGGCTTAAAGACCAGGATCATGTGATCTCCGTCAGGGCTGGGTACGGCTCTTCTTCATCTAGACATACGGAAGTAAAAGACAAGTTGTCTATCACTGTACATGCAATATACAGTAGTAAAACCGAGCCAAGACAATTGTAATAATTCTATTAATATTTGAAAGGGCAAGAATGGGAGGCATTTGGCAGTCACCGGCTCACAGCATGTTTGAAACCCTTCTGGGCAAAGGTTCCCAGGTCCCTCTCACTCAGGGGACAGGGACTGTTTCTTGATGAGGCCTTGGCTCGGCTCTTTGGTTCGCGCCTCTGCCTGCTGGAACATCCCTTCCATCACCTTCGTAAGCCACTTCTGAAAAGGATTGAAAAAGGTACCTTTGAAAAACTTTCTTGCCCTACTTTCTGCCTGTCAAAAGCTGGAGGGAGGTCTCTTACATTTTGTTTTAGTCTAGGCTGGTGACAGTTTTGCTGGCAGAGCTGTCTTAAAAACTTCGTGAGTTTCCTATGTATCCTTGTGCCAAAGGCCACACCCACAATTCTTTTGGAATCTTGCCTCTTTTTCTAAACTCAATTATAGGCACCTTCGGCATATAACCTTTTAGGGATGTTAGGAGTCCTTTTGTGCAGCTTCAAGAACGTACTTGGCACCAACTTAATTCTTTTGGAGATTTTAATAAAGAGCCTTATCTTCAGGCCCCTTAATTCTCATTTGATCTTTACTCTGAGGTCAGTTCCTTGGATATGATCTTCATCCCCAGGCTTTTTCTTACTTTGAAAATCTAGCTAGCGAGGCTGGCTGTAGATGAGAAACTACATCAGCAAATCTTTGACTTTCTATATTCCCTCTAAATTCTGCTTAGAAAATGGGTACTTCTTTTTTGTTTGTCTCTTTCTTGTAGTACCTTGTCATACGCAGCTTCTAAAACACTTCCCCTGTTCTACCTAGAATTTATTTCTTTATTCAAGTCCAAAACTCATTATGTGCATTTTCTATCTTCTAAGCTACCAGAGGTGACAGTTTTACCAAATGTTTGCCATTCCCTAGTGTGAATTGCCATTTCTCCAGCCTCCACCTGCTACCGAGTCTCAAAACCAATGCTATATATTTTGGTTCTCTGTTACAGCAGCACCCCATTTGTAGATACCAATATCTGTATCAGGTATCTGTTGTCACAATGATGCAGCATAATAAAAACTCACCAAACCTCAGTAGATAATAATACAACAATATGCCTCTTCTGTTCCCATGTTAGGGATCAGCTGGGTGTCATCTAGGTGACTGTGCTGACCTTGGCTGGGCTCACTTCTAAGTCTGAGCATCTGCTGGCTGTGAGCTGGCTGTCCACGGGCCTTGCCTGTGAATCCGGCTCTGCTCCACGTATCTGTCATCCTTCTCCTGGGACCAGGAGGCTAGGCCAGGATTGACCTTCTCACGGCAGTGACCAAGTTGCAAGCAAGCAAGCGCCAGTGCACAAGCCCATTTCAAGCCAGCACTTGTGTCAAGTTACCTAACATACCATTGGCTGAATCCAGTGACATGGTTGAGCCGTGTGTTCTGGGTCCTGCATGGTCATCCTGCCCTGTTGGGAGAGCATGAATAATTACATGGCAGAGGGCCATGCTACAGGAGGGAGGGGAGGTGGGGAGATTTGGGAACGTGTTTGGAATCTACTACAGTGAATTAAGATATTGGCATGATTGATACCCAACTGATAGTCTTCAGAACTCTCCCCCGGCCTAAATTAGAGAAGCTGAAGGATTCGTTTATGAAAGTGGTTCATTTTGGTTCACAAGGATGAACTTACCATTTACAGTAACATCTTCAAATTGATTTAGAAAAGGCCTGTTTTCTAAAAATTTCAATGTGTGCCATTTATGCACTGTCTCCATGGAGTGTTCATTTTCCCTTTTATAAATCTGTGGCATTTGTAAAATTTTAAATTAGTAGAATTCTGTTTTTGCCCCTGCGTTGATTTGATGGACTACATCGTCAGTTGTTTTAGTAGCAACCTAAACTCAAGAAAGATCTGTCAGCTAAAATACATCAGTCACTTATTCATTCAACATTCTTTAAACCTCACCACATGCCAGACATTGTGGACATCAGATAGTGGGCAAGAATGAACATATTCATTAGCTTTGAGGAGCTTACAGGCCACTAGGACTGTTGGACAAATATGCCTCATTGAAGAAATAAATTTATGGTTAAGGGAAAAAAAAGACAATTACAAGGAGATTTAAAACTTTTGCTTTCATGTCAAAAAGTGTGGTTAAACTCTGCGACTTAGTTGTGAGATTTGGTTATCTGGTTTTTCTGGATTTCAGCTATGCAAATTGCTAAAAGAAAAAAAGAAGACTGTCACTATCATTTTGGCAAGGATATAACTGGTAAACCTAGTGGGACGTTCTGGAGCAGCGTTTCTTACTCTGGGTCCACAGACATCTTCCCCCCAGAAATCCATGAATAAAATTTAGGAGGGAAATCCATGAACTTGGATGGAAAGGAAAATTACATCTTCATCTTCACTAACCTGTACTGAAATTTGACATATCCTTCAATTATGAAAACAGGCAACCAATCTGATAACAGCACATGTGAACTTGTCACCAGTGGAAATCAGAAATCTTTTCATAACAATTGTTGTTGATAGATCAAAATATCTTTTATCACTTTTTTTATTTAGAAATTACTATCCCGCCGCTAAGTCTTGTTATTTAATGCATTAGTAAAACACACGCATTGACATATCACAATTTTTTTCTTTTAATAACTACTTCAATATAATTGGTTTCTTTTCTATTCTTATTGTTTTTATTTATTTTAGCTTATTTTGTACATTTGAAACATTATCTGAGAAGGGTTCCATGGACTTCACTAAACTCCCAAAAAGGGGTGATGGCATAAAAAGGGTTAAGAACAACATTCTGAAGCAGAAAAAGTGAACTTTTTCTGAAAAAGGCCAGATTGTAAATATTTTCAGCTTCGTGGGCCATGCATTCTTTGTCAGAACTACTCACTTCTGCCATTATAGAGTGAAAGTAACCATATGTGAACAAATGGGCATGGCTGTGTTCTAATAAAACTTTATTTACAAAAATAGGCTATGGGCAAGATTTGGCCCATGGGCTGTAGCTTACTGTTCCTTGTTAGTTTAGTATGCATTATCTTGGTGGGAGTTAGTCATACTAAGCATTGTTTAGTTTTAGGCTTCTCAGTTTTCTAGTAGCTTGTTAAATCGCTCCTTGCCGTGTCTGCTGGCATTAGTAAGCAACTCATGGTGATATTGTAGGCCCTATGCTGACAAACTGGAGGACAATCCCAGTTTTTTGAGTTTATGACCTAAGAAAGCAAACATCAGTTATATATTTCCAGCATCTAAGAATACTAGCTTTGAAGTTAGCCTAGGTTGGAATCCAAGCCCTACCTCGTACTACTGAGGGTGACCTTGAACAAGTTCTGTAGTTTCTCTGGCCCTCAGCCTTCTCATCTGTACAATTGTGGTAAAAAATAGTATTAATAATAGTTCCTACCTCAGGGGGATCTTGTCAGCATCAAAGGAGACCATTCTTGTGGAGAACTCAGCATAGCACCTGCCATTCTGGAAGCAATTGAAGACTATTGGCTACTGTTACTTCACTTGCTTAAACAATATTGAAATGGGAAGTGGGGTAAACCCAATTTGCCTGAATTATCATTGCCTTGGAGAATTAGGACTTGGCATACATTGAGGAAAGAAATTGAAATACTGTATCCATTCAGATGTTTGCAATTTCACTCTCCCTGCTCATCTTTCAGCAAATATGAGTTTTTTTTTTTAAAAATCAAGCAGCTGGATTTTGTAACTTCACAAGTAAAGAACACAGCTGGCAATGTGGGATAAATAAATTTTGTGCAATAAACACGTCTTTATTAATAAAAATCTGCATGAAGTATAAGCTGGGTGTTTCAATCATTGTAAAAAGAATACTCCAATGAGTGCGGCATGGAGCCGCCCCATATGAAAACGTGTTGTCGAATCTGTTGCAACATGTAACGCAATCAAAATCCACGGATTATGCAAAAGTATGCAACTGTGAACCATTGACTAGCAGAACGGGTGCATTAACCGTACGAACCATAGCTTGAGTGTTTTAAAGACTATAACAAGTATATTTACAAATCTTATTTTACTTGGGACAATTAAATAGCTTTTTTTCAATCTCCCATTTTTCTTCTGGGTTTTATAAAGGTGGTGGTGGTTTAGGTCTGGGGAAAGAAGAGAAGCCCTTCCCCTATCTGCCTCCTCCCAGGGGCTGCTAGGAGCTGCAGTTAGAAGGTCTCCACCTGCCCGCCTTGGTATAAGAGATTTTCTGGTATGTGCTTCGGGGGGATCCGCTGTGGTTGTTGCCTGCCTGTTCTTATTGAAACTCACCTTGTGTTGACAGGGGACGCCCCCTTCCAGTGCTGGCTCTGTAGCGCCAAGTTCAAAATCAGCTCGGACTTGAAAAGGCACATGCGGGTGCACTCCGGGGAGAAGCCTTTCAAGTGCGAGTTCTGCAATGTCCGCTGCACCATGAAGGGGAACCTCAAGTCGCACATCCGCATCAAGCACAGCGGGAATAACTTCAAGTGTCCGCACTGCGACTTCCTGGGTGACAGCAAAGCCACCCTCCGGAAGCACAGCCGCGTGCACCAGTCGGAGCACCCCGAGAAGTGCTCGGAGTGCAGCTACTCGTGCTCCAGCAAGGCCGCCCTGCGCATCCACGCGCGCATCCACTGCACCGACCGCCCCTTCAAGTGCGGCTACTGCAGCTTCGACACCAAGCAGCCCAGCAACCTGAGCAAGCACATGAAGAAGTTCCACGGGGACATGGTCAAGACCGAGGCCCTGGAGAGGAAAGACACGAGCCGGCAGAGCAGCCGGCAGGTGGCCAAACTGGACGCCAAGAAGACTTTTCACTGTGATATATGCGAGGCCTCGTTCATGCGGGAGGATTCGCTCCGCAGCCACAAGAGACAGCACAGTGAGTACAGTGAGAGTAAGAGCTCGGACGTGACCGTCCTGCAGTTTCAGATCGACCCCAGCAAGCAGCCCGCGGCGCCGCTCACCGTGGGCCACCTGCAGGTGCCCCTCCAGCCCAGCCAGGTGCCCCAGTTCGGCGAGGGGAGGGTCAAAATCATCGTGGGGCACCAGGTGCCCCAGGCAAACACTATTGTCCAGGCCGCCGCAGCCGCGGTGAACATCGTGCCGCCTGCCTTGGTGGCCCAGAACCCGGAGGAGCTCCCAGGGGGCGGCCGGCTGCAGATCTTGCGCCAGGTCAGCCTGATCGCCCCTCCTCAGTCCTCGGGGTGTCCGAGCGAGGCAGGCGCCATGACGCAGCCGGCTGTGCTGCTGACCGCTCACGACCAGACGGACGGAGCCGCTCTGCACCAGACTCTGATCCCCACGGCGCCCGGCGGCCCCCAGGAGGGCTCCGGCAACCAGACTTTCATCGCCAGTTCGGGCATTACTTGCACTGACTTCGAAGGCCTTAACGCTTTGATTCAGGAGGGGGCGGCCGAAGTGACCGTGGTGAGCGATGGAGGTCAGAACATCGCAGTGGCCACCACGGCCCCACCTATATTCTCCTCCTCTTCCCAGCAGGAGCTACCCAAGCAGACGTTCTCCATCATTCAAGGCGCAGCGCACCCCGCCCTGCTCTGTCCGGCTGACTCCATCCCAGATTAGCACTTAAACAAAAGAAGTGGGGGACAGGAATGACAAAAAGAAGAAAGAAAAAAAAAAAAAAAAAAAAAGGCATCCTAACTAGAATTCTGCAAGAGGTTTGCTCTTAATGTTTTTAAAGATTGTTGTGAATCTCCCCCCCATAATAAATTGTAATTTTATA